TTCCACAGTGGAATTCTGGGAGTTGAAGTCCACACGTCTTAAAGTTGCCAAGGCTGAGAAACACTGCACTAGAGTATAGCGCGTCTTAAAGTTGTCAAGGTTGAGAAACACTGGGCTATCGGTTTGATTGATACCCTGAAGGTCAGTCAAATATATAGGAGTAATAACAACCTGGGCTATCGTCCTGCATTTCTCTTAACAGAGAGTAAGCGACATTGATCTGCCCACCAGCCTTCCAAAACTTAAATAATAATAATAATGTCCCAAAACATCTGGGGCACCACTTGAAGACTATCAGTATTGACAAAATCACCATCATCAATTGCAAAAGGCATCTTTACTTGGAACAATACCTTTAACACCATCAAACAACATCTGCCTATTCCAGATCCTTGGAAGGACTCAATAGGTGGATAAAAATGGCAAATCCAGTCTAAACAACTGGCTGACTGCAACCATCCATAATAATGAAGAATTTCACCTTAAAAACTAACAGTTTATTATAAGTTACACTATTAGGGCTACCAACACTGGGTTGCAAAAAGCCATACATCCATTGGAAGTAAAATGATACAGAAATTTCATGGGGTCTGAGTTGATGCAGCCCAGACATGTGAGCCTTAAACAATGTTTATGTTTTAAATGGAGCTTAGCACCCTTTAGGGATACACTATAAAACAAAATAAATTTAAAGACATGTTGAGATTCTGAAATATGCTATGTCAGTATCAAATGTTCAGGAAAATAATTACAATTCTGTTAAGAAAAGAGGAATTCCAGTCATTTGTTCTGCCATAGTCATAGCATCATCACATTCTTTTCTTAATCTTTAATTGATATAAAATACATCTTTGATTGCTGGGGCTAGTATACTTGTGCAATTGACCTAGCCAGTCAAGGAAAATGAGAAATAATTGTAGCAGTAGAAAATGCATGAATTTTGTATACTCAGTATTAATGAAATTCTATGAAATGAGCACAAGATGGCACCTCAAACCCACATTAGTTGATTTTTCTCAATCATAGTGTTTCTTTTATTTAGTAGGATGATAGGGACTAAAGAGAAACTCAGTAGAGTTTAAAAATTGCTGATCTGTAAAATATACATCGACCCTTAAAAAAAAAAAGAAAAGAAAATTATAAATGCTTACAAACCATTTTTGGTCCCAATTCCATTTCTGGGTAATTCATCATAGTTAACAAAGTTTTTTGGGGGGTGAAATCACAAGTAACAGATGTGTTGATATTTCCTAAGGAATTCTGGGTTTCCTTCAAAGTTTTCCTCCTTATGTTTGTGATAGTAATTCTGTAAATAGGTTCTGAAGGAGCTTCTCGGTTAATTACTAGGAACGCCTTCAATGCACTGTGCTCCGATCAAGCACTGTATAATTCATTCATACAATGCACTCCATGGAGGTGCCAAAGTTTATAATGTAGTAAAATCTGAACCACATTCCTCAAGAGGTACCAAACTGCTCTTAATACTTGTTATATGCTGACATTTTGCATACAAGATGCTAGATGGCACTTGAATTTCCTTCTTGAATCAGTTGAACAGCTGTGAGCATTTGTGGTCCTTTTAACTTCATAACTTTGTGTATCTTTATCATCCATTTAGCAGTTTAGTCACAGTTTAAGAAAACCCCTTTTTCTTCTGAAAATTATGGCAGTTTATTTCAGTATCCTAAAACCTACCCCATTGGTTTTAACTTAGCGGAACAATATATTATACTTTGGGATAACAATATATCAACATATTATACTTTGATCATTAAAGTGTTTTAACTACGCAAAGTCTTCCAGAAAATTTTCTGTGGGAAGCTCCTCTGGATTCTCCTGAAGTTCCTGAATTGCTTTTCAGCCAGGAATCTTATGATAGTTTTATAATAAGTTTTGCTATGGTATTTGTAAAAGCAGCATTTACTTTACATGCCTTAGGTTATTACAAGTTAACTATCTCTCTATGGGAAAATTACCACCAAAATGAACCTAAGCAGAAAGCAAGCATACAACGATACAATAGAATACAGTGAAATCCTTGAAAATGAAAATTTTGAAAAAACTGGCCATTGACCATAGGAATACACACACACACACACACACAGAGTCACTTTTTGTGAGATGGGCAGTATCTAAATTTGAAATATAAATAAATAAATAAAATACATACATACATACATACATACATACAGTGTGTGTGTGTGTGTGTGTCTCAATACCCATCAAACCATGGATAAAACAAAATAAAATATAATAATCCTAATAAATTAACTAGCATGATTATAAAGAGAAAAAAAATGACTTAGTTGTTCCACATTATTACAATACCACTGTAATTATTACAGCTATATAAAGATTGTGACAACTCAATTCTTAAAGAAGTTAAACCTTGATCACATAGAATCCTATTGTCTAGTCTCCTTTCTGCTGATAAAGAGCTAATTCCAAAGCTGAGAGTTGACAGATTTTGTTGAACCAATCTGACCATCTGACACACAAGTGCCTGCCCAACACGTAATATTTGTCAACTGTCCAAGCAGAATAGATCCACATTCTTGATAACAAATCCAGATTTTTGGATTGTAATTGCATTCCATTTTCAGTTCTAATACATTAATACACAAAAGTATTTTAGGAGAAATTGTAGATTTGGACAGGACCACCTCTAGTGCAGTGTTTTTCAAACTTGGCAACTTTAAGATGTGTGGACTGGCTGGGGAATTGTGGGAGTTGAAGTCCATACATCTTAAAGTTGCTAAGTTTGAAAAACAATGATCTAGTGCAATCCTCTGAGATGTATTTTAGGCAAAATGCACACCAAAATGAATAAATCCTAATGCAGAAACAGAGGTGTCCTCAGCCACTGTCATTGACTTCAAAATGGTGGGTGTGATGTGGTAATCAAAGTCCTACTGATCTTTAATATATGCTGCATGCATTGCACACGTGAAAATGGGCATTTCAATCATCTAGTCACCCCCACCATTTTGAAGCCAGTGACTATCAGTACAGACACCTGTGCAGGAGGTTGGTTGGTTGGTTGGTTGGTTGGTTGGTTGGTTGCTTGCTTGCTTGCTTGCTTGCTTTATTTATTTATTTATGTATTTATTTATTTATTATTTATTTATTTATTTATTTATTTATTTATTTATTTATTTATTACTGTGATATAGTGCAGAAATGGGATGAAGTGAATTTACATTTGGAAAAATAGCCAAGTTCAGTGTGCTTTGCAACCTTTCAAAAACAGCTTGGTGATTGTTTCTAAGGACTGAAAGTTCTAAAGCTGCTTCTATGGCATGTAGGTGATTAGAGTAACTCTCCTAAATTGCCAGAGTCTACTACTCAGAACACCTGATAATGGAGAAAATAGCTTTTTCAGCACCATTAACCTAGATCAATAATTTGGTCAGTATTATATCAAACAATGTTGAATTATCCTCGGTGCAGCAGATATCACCTCATAATTAACAGTGATCATGGATGAAGTTCCCATTTGCCTGAATTAATAATAATCTGAACACCACTGGTATTAACAAAATCACCATCGGTCGATTGCAAAAGGCAGCTTTACTTGGAACAGCTTATATCCTGCACCAATATCTTTAACACCATCAAACAACAGCAGCTGCCTATCCCAGGTCCTTGGGAAGGTCTCGATAGGTGGATAAAAATGCCAATCCAGTCTGACAACAACAATAAATAGGCAAGTTGATTTAGGTGACTTTTTCCTAAAACATGAAGTGTTTCCTATTCATTCACAGACTAACATGAAATCTCTAGAGGTTCCAAATCAACCCAACTGCTTTGTAAAAATCAAAAATCTTATTGTATTATGCAGTAGGTGTTAGATTTCCAAAATTCTTTCCCTGTGCAATTTTCTTGCCACACTATGAGCCCTCCAGGTCATTACTTTTATAGTAACCAAAATATATGGGCATGTAAACTGTTAGGCATTATATTAATCATTTTTAATTGACTAAACAAATAA